CCTACTTAGCTCTAGTGCAGGTTCAAGATGTTGATGAGATGCGGGCGTGCCAGTCAGTTTGATCCTTCAACTGACAAGATATGTAAACAATCGATGGAGTAATTCCAGCCGATAGCCGATATTAGCCGATGTCGATAGGGTTTTGAGTAATCGGCTATACGTCCAATGTAGATAATGATATAAATACAATCGGCCGATGATAATAAAATATAACAATAATATAATCTAATGGAAACCAATCGGGTAATAATAATATGATATGATAAGTACTGATTTGATGGTTAAAGCATACATCGGCTAAAAGTCCGATGTCCTTAAATCCAATCGATTTAGATAGACAGTGAAACCTATGTTGTGATTGGCTAAACCCAACTTATATGTAATCCTTATAAGCCGATGTAACGTTCAGATAACTTATCGGCTAGCACCCCGATAAAACGTTAGCATGAACCTATCGGCTTAACAAGATTTATATTATCAACAACAATCTAGTAGGTCGAACCTAACCGATGCAGCACAAGATTATATATGATAATTAATCTAATACTCGATGAGCCGATAGATCTGTCCAATGTGATGGATATAACAAATCTATTTATAACAACATTGTGATTGTAGAGATATATCGGCTAAGACAGAAGATCAGACCTAACCGGGATAGTCCCTTCTAAAGCGATGCGTCTCTAAACACAATACAATTAGAAATAGAATTGAGATATCAGGTAGGCAAATATATCAATCAAACCAGAGCGGTCCAAGAGATCAAAGCGATGCAGCCTTGAACAACACCAATGTAGTCGATAGATTCACCAGGGCTGATGGAACGTAGGACTTACCCCTTCGCCGAGGATCGAACTAAACCGATGCAGCCCCGCGTCAGGTGCCAAATTCCGTCGGTTGATAAGTAAAGCCTCAGAAAAGAGGGTGGCGATACGCTGAGAGTAGTATTGATCGAGAGATAAAGGTCATATAAGTGTCACATTGAGACCATGTCAACATATCAAGTAGGAGTCACATAGGATAAAATCGTCATCCAAGCTGCTTGAAGAGACAAAAATGAACCGATTTCATTGATGAGAGAGTCTCCATTCCCAATTCCCGATTTTACACTCAACAGATATGAATTATATTTGGCCAATCGTTGTGGGAGACAAAATATACCCTTTTTTACTCTCGATAGACCACCCCCGATGCGAGATTGAGCTACACAATAAGGAATAAGTTCGCGTGACACCCCTCAATTTTACATCAAGTCTGTCCGAGGTTCCTAATCCCCAATACCTGAAATCTTCACCCTGAACTATACAAAATCGTGCAATTTTGGTCCTATGGCAGTATGGATACGTGGTTTCGCTAACGTAGCATCCTAGTCAGCAAAATAAAAAATAAAAAAGCTATGGGGCCCACATGTAAGTGAGAAGGAAAAAATGTGGGATCCACATAGCTTCCTTTTCTCTTTTCTTCTCCTCTCTTCTATTTTTTTTTCTTCTCTTCCCTTCTCATCAGCAGTGGCATAGAAGGGAGAGGCGACCATCGAGCTTGGCCAAGCTTTGCCTCCTTGAACACTTCGCAACAAGTGGAGGAAACGGGGAGAGGGGAGGCGGCCGGCGGGAAATCCATACCAAGTCCGCGGAACGCCGTCGCTGCCACCCCGCTGAACAGCTACTAGCGGCCATGGAAGGAGCGGGTGATGCGGGTGGTGTTTATAGCAGCTGTTGCGCGAAGTCCAGAAGGCGGGTGTGGGCGAAGCGTTGGTCTTGGTAGTAGGCGTCAGCGGCGACAGAGTGGTAACGGAGGGCGAGTGTCACGCCCTGAAGTTTCCCCCTTCTTCTTTCTTTAAAATTTGGGTTAAATAAATCATCCGAAGAAATGGTTTAATTTAACCTATAGTTGAATCCCTAATTAATAAATGCAACTATTAATCGGAAATAGTGTGGTGTAATTTTTCTTGAGTTCCACATGTCACAATATATTAACAGGATTTTTAGTGGAATTTTCAGAGCCTCGGAAATAATTTTAACCAATTAAAAATGAGCAAGTGCAATATTTTAATCCCAGGAAAAATCCTTTCTTCTTTTTCTTTTTCTTTCCCTCCTTTTTTCCCTCTTCTTGGGCCGTCGGCCCAGTCCACCCCGTCACCCGCGCGCGCCCCTCTCCTCCTTGGGCCGGCCCGCTCCCTCCCTCCTCTCGGAGACGCCGACAGGTGGGGCCCACCTGTCGGGGTCATCCCCTTCCTCCAGCCGGCTCCCACCCGAGCCCTAACCGGCGGCAACCGCCAATGTCGCCAGCGCCCCCACACCGCCCACCTTCCCCGCACCCCGCGCCCACACCCCGCGCCCACACCGCCCACCTCCTCCACCTTCCCCGCAGCTCCTCGCGCGCGCGCCCATTTAGAGGCCGGGATTCGAATTTGAATCCCCCTCTCTCTCTCCCTCCACTCCCCCACGTCACCAACCAATTCGGCCACCTCCCCGGCCACGTCCGCCTCCCCCTCTACCTATAAATCGCTCCCCTCGTCCTCCTCTCTCCTTTTCTTCTTTTAATCGCACTCTCCCGTGCCTTCTACGCCCTCGCGCCGCGCACCCGAGCTCCGCCGTCCGCCGCCCACCTCCGGCTGCACGCCGCCGCCGCTAGCGTTGTCGCCACACCACACCACCGCCGCCTATAGCTTCACCGCCGCGAGAGCTACATCAGCCACCGCTCGCTTGCCGTGCGCCGTCGCCGTACCGCTCTCCCCACGCGCCGCCACCTACAGCCGCCTCCGGCAGCCGCTAGCTACCGCTAGGGCCGTCGTATAGCCTCGCCACCGCCGCTTTCACGATCTCCGGTGCCGGCCACTCCTCGTCCGCCGCTCGGTTGCCGCAAATCACCATTGGAGCTCCGATTCCCTCGCGCCGCTGGCGAGCTCGCCATTGTTTCCATCTCCGGCCATTTCTTCTCGCCGTGCCGCGGCTCTTCTCCTTCCTCTAACCCCTTCACCGCCGTTTCCCAGGTCGCGCCGCCCGTCCGTCCCTAATCGTCGCCGGGTCGCCGCCGCCTTTCATCCTCCGCCCCGGTCGCCGTGCTCACCGGTGAGGCTCCCCTCTCCTCCCTTTTTCTCTCCTCTCCCGTGTGCGCCGCCGCTTTCGGCCGTCGCCGCCGCTTGACGTCGCCGGTGGCCGTGTGCGCGCCGCCGCCGCTGCTCGCCATGACCGGCCGGCCGACTTGAAGCTGAGCCGAGCCCGGCCGACGCCTCCCTCGCCTCCCCTTTGAGCCACCGCCTGGTGGGGCCCACCCGCCAGGCGCCACCTCCCCTCCTTTGGAGCCGCTGACCCGTGGGGCCCGCATGTCGGCGCCGCCCCTCCCCTTGCTGACGTCAGCCCTGGGCAATATTGCGCAATAAATAATTAAGGACTTTTTCTTTATTAGTAAAAACACAGATTATCTTCTAAAATTCATAACTAATTCATCCGAGCTCCGTTTAAGTCCATTCAAGTCTCAGTAGATTCATAAAATCCCTAGAATCCATTAAAAATGGTTTTGTTTCCTGTTTTAGTAGTTTTATAGCACGTTTTGCTTGTGTGCTTTGTTTGTCACGTAGATTTCGGCCGTTTCGTCGATCCGCGGTTTCTCGAAGACGTTGCTGAGGTCTTATCAGTGCGAGAGCAAGGAAAGTCATGCAATACAATTGATCATATTGTACCCAATTTACAAATATCCCGCATTTCTATTAAATGTTGCATTCTTTTACAATGTCATGTGGGATGGGTCCTATTACTCAGCCATATATTGTGTACCTTATGCCATTGATAACTTGGGTATCAAAACAACTAGACGTTGGTTTAGGAAATGCTTAGCCATGCTTAGTTCAACTAGTACACAAATGGGGATCACATTATTACATAGACTTTGACTATGAGCATAGATTTGGATTGGTGCCACTGCAATGGTGTTAGCTAATTAAAATACTTTGAATGGTGGGCTGTGGGTGCATGGTTTTGCTGGTCGCACCCATGGCAATTAAGGACCGGTTCACGGGAAACCCTAGGAGACTTACTGTGCTTACCACAAGCGGAAGTGGGTAACTGCTTGATCTGAACTATAGCTCGACCCTTTCCTAGGCACCGGTGGCGAGGGTGGGCGTGATGGAGTTCGGTCGGCCGGGGTGTTCGGTTGTCCAGCTGCCGGATTCACCACGGCGCAAGAGGGGACCGCCCACTGCCTTTTGAGAGGTGGGGATGAAACCTTAGCGTGGTGTGGATGGTTAGGGGAGGGTTATGCAGAGGGTCTTGTCACGATTTCCCCCTTTGCAGTATCATGGTGATACTTTGGGGCATGGCGACATGTGTGGAATCGTGTCTTGTGGGTACAGTTGTACACCTCTGGCCAGAGTAAAACTATTCGAATAGCCGTGCCCGCGGTTATGGGCGATCAACCAGATTCACCGTGATTAGTATCACCCCTAGTTTAGCTTAATGAACTGGTGTAGTTCAGGTGGTTGGTTGGGTCTGTTGCAACGTGGTGTAGCGTTGGACAGTGATTGGTTAATATTGATTAATTACTACAATTGTTTTACTGTTTTCAACTACTGTTTTTTTTAAATGCCTGCTTTATTCAAATGAACCTTTATCCTCCTTTGGTTATATCCTGCATCATACCTCCTCTTCCGGTATGACTTGCTGAGTACAGTGGGTAGTACTTAGTCTTGCTCTCTTTTCCCCCCACACCAGAGCTGAAGATCTTCCTAGTGGGAGCTGTCCTGTTGAAGTTGGTTTCGTCGCTGCCGTCAAGGATTGCCTGTGGAGTGGAGTCCCCCCGCTGCAGAAGTCAAGCGTCCAAGTCTAGCTCGTTTTATCTTTTCCGCTGCATTTGTAATCTTTTATATTTTTTGTAAGACGTGGATCTGTATGTCAACAATTGTCGTTTGTGTACCCTGGCTGGTCCTGGACAGGGATTTAATGTACATTCAGCTTAGAAATTCTGGTTCGTGAATTTCTGGGCGTGACAGCGAGGCAGGCGTTATGCCTTGTCATATCCATGGCGGCGCCGCTCTGGACAAGCAACTCGTCCCCACCGCCTCCAAAGCCAATGGCACCACCCTCGCTGTCCGCAAGCCTCCCTCCAAGGACCGCCATAGCAAGGTCGACGGCCGCGGCCGCCGCGTCCGCATGCCCATCATCTGCGCTGCCCGTGTTTTCCAGCTCACCCGCAAGCTTGGCCTAAAGTCCGACGGCCAGACTATCGAGTGGCTCCTCCGCGAGGCTGAGCCATCCATCATTGGCGCCACTGGCACCGGCACCACCCTAGCCTCCTCCTCCCCACGCCGCCCCCTTCATCCTCGGCAAGCGCCTCCATGTCGCCGACGACCACACCACCTCCCCCTCGCCCACTCTTGCTTCTGACGCCCCCGTCGAGGGCTTCTGGGTGCTCTCCGCAGGGGCTGACTTCGGCCAATTCTGGAGCTTTGCGGCCGTGCGGGAGATGATGGCCGCCACCGCGGCGCCCGCCATGCTTGGGGAGGCCTTCGCCGCCAGTGTTGGCAACTACCTCTGTTGCGGCGCCTGCTCACCCCCGCGCCACGTCCCCCCATCTCCTCGCCGTCCCCGTCGCCGTGCCTCTCCCCTTCCCCATCCCCACCGGCCTTCTCCCATTTCTCCCGTTCCTTCCTCCCGTCACGAGGCACTCGAGGCAGTGGTCAGCGGAGCTCGTCGGCTGACTCTCCCCTCTCTGCCGCCGCTGAAGAGAAGAGAAGAGAAGAGAGGAAAGAAAAGAGAAGAGAGGAGAAGAAAAGAGAAAAATAAGAGATGCGGGCCCACATTTTTTTCCTTCCCACTTACATGTGGGCCCATAACCTTTTTACTTTTTATTTTGCTGACTAGGATACCACATCAGCGAAACCATAGATCTATATTGTCATGGGACCAGAATTGCACGGTTTTGTATAGTTTAGGGGTGAAGATTTCTGGTATTCGGGATTAGGGACCTCAGATAGACTCGACGTAAAGTTGAGGGAGAGGGACATTAGGTGAACTTATTCTAGACAATAAAAGCCCAGACCCAGACCAAAAGAAGCTACACGTTCCAGCCCAAAAGCTTTAGGCATCGGCCTGCAAGTCGGGCCTGACGAGAGAGGCCCAACCAGCCCAAGACGCAGCAAAGCAGCAACCTGGAAGGAGCCAACCAAGGAGGAGGATGTGCTCCACCACCGGTGAGGTCACGGCCGCCGCCTCCGCACCTCGCGGACTGCTCGCCGGCGCGGCCGGTGCCCGGCGGCTCTCGGTTCCTGCCGCGACCTCACCGCTCAGCCCGGATGTCCTCCTCTACGGATAAGGAGCTGCACGACGCACAGTGGTACTATCAGAACTCTTCCTCCCCAATCCCTCCTCCTCCTTTCTCTCTCGCTCAATTAGGTTCTTCACCAATGCTGTGGGTGGATTTTGGGGGTTGTCCTGCTGCTGTTGTTCTCCGTCTAATCTTGTACGATCTGGTTCGTTTAGCATCATAGTGGCAAATTGCAGAATGCGTAACCCTATCGTGCTTAGTAACTTACTTACCATCTAATTTTGCTGTCAAGCATTGAGGCTTTTTTTCGTGCAAACTGCAAAGTTCTGACACGCGAATAGCATTGGAGAAAAGCTTTTGTTTCAATAAAAATGACGCTAGTACCTAGGAGTAGGTACCTTTTCTATTCAGAGAAAGGAATTATCAACGTTTTTTTTCTTTTCGTTGACTGTTAAACTTCAGTATAATTATAGTGCAGATTCTGCAAGTCCGGAGTACGGATTTTAGAATCCATGGGTAGAGCATGACCGTCCATTCAGAAAATTTATTTAGAGGTATTTTATTTGAAAATATCAAGTGAACTCTTAGGTTATTAGGTAGGAGCAATCTACTAGTCAACATGCAGTTGTTTGGTAGAACTATATATTACTCAATATACAGTCTGAACTCTGAAGTGAGTGTCCATCACATCTCTTCGCTTTCTTTTATTAACTACTATCAAATGGAAGGAGCTTGGACTATTCGATTAAGAGCTAAGAACTGAAAAGAACTTCTACAAGCAATAGGAATAGGGGCTTAAGACAATGGTTTGCATTACACGGGCTTAAGAAAAAGACTGTCAGACAATATAAGTGTTAATTTTCTCTGGAAAAATTGAAGTTGGTAAAACGAATCACCTGTTCACTGATATGGATAAGAGTATACTAGTTAGGATAGTTTCAAGCTTTCAAGCCCATCAAATTGATTTAACCGTTTCTTCCAAGAATTGACACTTCCCTTGGTTTTTGGCTCACTGTTTGCAGATTTGACTGTTTCTTCCAATAAGTGACACTTCCCTTGGTCTTCTGCCCACTGTTCACATCAATCCAGCTAGATGTTGCCTTCCATGGTCTAAAATTTGCATTGATCACAACAATACGCCTAGAAGCTAAAAGATAATATACACATAGTTGAACATTAAAGCGTACTTTTCTGACTTCAACTAGGTGCATCAATTAATATTTTTGTATTTTTTTCCTGTGCTTTTCGAAGCAAGTTCCTAGCCAGCTGGCAGTAGCATTTTCATTAGTGCTGTCACCATTATCACATGCTATTAATATGATTATTGGTAGGCTCAAATCAGATCATTACAAGCAAGCAAAATGACCATATATATATATAATATATCAGATGTCCTGAACACATGCAAACAGTCACTGCCTGTGGACATCACGAGGCATAGGACACCAACCTTCTATTGAATATAAGAATGAAGCAAGGAGGTATGAGAAGAAATTGGACATACTGCTCCTTTGGTCATCCTTTCAATCCACCCATGGCACCCTTCTTCTCCATCCTCCCTGCTCTATCATTCCTTGCTCTGCTCCCAATTGTCATGTCTCGTGACAAGATACCACTAAAATCCTCTCTATCTGTTGATGATTACCAGAATGATGTCCTACAGTCAGCTGATGGCACTTTCTCCTGCGGCTTCCTCACCATCTACAGCAATGCTTTTGCCTTCTCAATATGGTATACCAACTCAAAAAACAAGACTGTTGTCTGGACCGCGAACCGCGGACGCCCTGTGCATGCTAGGCGCTCTGTTGTTACCCTGCAGAAGGACGGTGCCATGGTTCTCAAGGACTACGATGGCACTGTGGTGTGGCAATCAGACAGCAACTCAATTGATGTCCAGTATGCTCAACTTCTGGACACTGGGAATCTTGTCATGAAGAACTCGAGTGGTAAGGTTGTATGGCAAAGTTTTGATTCACCCACAGATACTCTGCTACCAACTCAAAAAATCACTGCAGCTACAAAGTTGGTCTCTACTACTGGTTTATATGTTCCTGGTCACTACACATTTCATTTCACGGATTCATCAATACTGTCACTTATGTATGATGATGCTGATGTTCATGAAATATATTGGCCAGATCCTGACCGTGGAGAGTATGGAAATAAGAGGAACCGTTATAACAATACTAGGATGGGGTTTCTTGATGATAATGGGGATTTTGTTTCAAGTGATTTCGCTGATCAGCAACCATTTTCTGCTTCTGATAAAGGTTCAGGGATCAAGAGAAGGCTTACTCTAGACCATGACGGTAATCTCCGTCTCTACAGCTTGAGTAATGGGGAATGGTTGGTTTCCTGGGTCGCAATATCTCAACCATGCAATATTCATGGTTTGTGTGGTCCAAATGGAATCTGTCATTACTCGCCTACGCCTACATGTTCTTGTCCACCAGGCTATGAAATGAATAGTCATGGTAATTGGAGCCAAGGTTGTAAGGCTATAGTAGACATCTCCTGTAGTGTTGCAAAAGTTCAGTTTAAGTTTGTGCATCTTCCTGATACTGACTTCTGGGGATCTGATCAACAGCTTGTTAACCATGTATCTTGGCAGGCTTGTATGAACATATGCAGGAGTGATTGTAACTGTAAAGGTTTTCAGTACCTAAAAGGGGAAGGGACATGCTTTCCAAAATCATTCCTTTTCAATGGAAGGGCATACCCATCACACTTTGTGTCACCACGCAATATGTATCTTAAGATCCCTATAAGCATGAATATTTCAGGTATGCCAGTATCCCAATCCAATGTGCTTGATTCAAGAAAACATAGCCTTAATTGTGATCAGATGGATGAAAAAACTAGGGAACTATTTCCCGATGTGCACAAGACAAGTCAGGGAGAAACAAGATGGTTTTACTTGTATGGGTTTGCGGGTGCGATTTTTATTCTTGAAGTTTTCTTTATTGGATTTGCATGGTTCTTTGTTTCAAGATGGGATCTGGATGCATTAGAAATACAAGCAGTCGAGCAAGGTTACAAGGTGATGGCAAGTAATTTCAGAAGATATAATTATAAAGAGTTGGCTAAGGCAACTAGAAAGTTTAAATGTGAGCTTGGAAGAGGAGGCTCAGGTATTGTCTACAAGGGAACCTTGGATGATGGTCGAGTAGTTGCTGTTAAGATGCTGGAAAATGTAAGGCAATGTGAGGAAGAATTCCAAGCTGAGTTGCGCATAATTGGGAAAATTAACCATATGAATCTGGTAAGGATATGGGGATTTTGCTCAGAGAACTCACACAGGATGCTGGTTACCGAGTATATCGAGAATGGGTCATTAGCTAACATACTGTTTAATGAAAACATTTTGCTAGAGTGGAGACAGCGATTTAATATTGCTGTAGGTGTTGCCAAGGGGCTAGCCTATCTCCACCATGAGTGTCTAGAGTGGGTCATCCATTGTGACGTGAAGCCAGAGAATATCCTGTTGGACGGAAATTTTGAGCCTAAGATCGCGGACTTTGGGTTGGCGAAGCTCCTAAACAGAGGCGGGTCCAATCAAAACGTGTCTCGAGTGCGAGGGACCATAGGTTACATTGCTCCAGAGTGGATCAGCAGCCTGCAAATTACTGCAAAAGTTGATGTGTATAGCTATGGAGTTGTGCTGCTTGAGCTGGTGTCAGGAAAGCGAGTTCTGGATTTGGCTACAAGTGCTAATGAGGAGGTGCATGTAGTGCTCAGGAGGCTTGTAAAGATGTTTGCCAATAACTTGAGTGGAAATGAACCATCTTGGATTGCGGAGTTTGTGGATTGCAGGCTAAGTGGCCAGTTCAACTACACGCAAGTAAGAACAATGATCACACTGGCTGTCGCGTGCTTGGATGAAGAACGAAGCAAAAGGCCAACAATGGAATCTATAGTGCAGCTGCTCCTTTTGGTTGATGAATCTTGTAGCAGTAATGTTCTATGTCCTGAGATGCCAACAAGGTGGACAACTGGACACGCCAAGGCAAATGCAAGTTTTTGTATTCATAGTTTGTAGTTCTATCTCATTGTATGGAAATTCGGAAACTCTTGTACTTCAAACTCTAGGCATTCATTTATTCAGATGTGCTGCATATTCCTTCACAAATTATAATAAAGTATGCTATTCAAGAATATCTGTTGTGATGTACGCATTGTCTAGTATATTTACCATCTTTTTGCCTCATGAGTTCCAGCAAAGTCATAGGTTCACAGATAGTGCTGAAATGGGGCTCCTCTCCTATCTTTACAATACAGCAGTTGCAATTCAATCATGGAAAAATCACAGAATGAATATTATTGGATACCAACAGGTATTAAAGGACTTTCTAGTTGATGATATTGCTCAGTTTGAGAATGGAAAATATGTTTGATTGACATTGTTATTAGGTCGACTTCGACTAAGTACTACTATATTAATTAGCTAAATATATAAACTTGACTTCGACTAAGTACTACTATATTAATTTGCTAAATATATAAACTTGTTAGTATTTGATACTAGTTTGATGCTTACCTGTGCATAATGGATTTTGTTTAGTTACAGTATGCCGGTGACAATTTTGAATATCCATACATGTGACTCGTTGACCTAGCGGCGTTCTCCAGGCGTTTCTTTATAAGGTAAGGTGTGCTCGTGTTCAGCTCCATACAAGTCTACGGGAAAAAATGGCCTTTTTTTTTTCAAGAAATGAGATAGCGTGGCTTCACAAAAGAGAAAGCGAATTAACATCAAGAACAGGAAGCGAATTAACATCAAGAAGAGGAGGCGAATTAGCATCAAGTGCACTTGGCGAGGAGCATCCTGTAAGTACATACACTCTTTACAAGCTACTGAGTCCTCTAATCCTCTGAGAGTGTCTCACGGTCTCACGGCGTCGTCGGCTGCACCACCTCCTTCTTCCCAGCCGGCTCCTGCACAGGCACAGCAGGAGCAGGAGCAGGGTCGACCGGCACACCCGAGCGCGAGCGCCGCCGCTGACACCAGCGCCATCCGGAATCCATTCTAATCCTTCCATTTCAAAGGTAATGCTCCGCCGCCCGCCGGGTGTTTGTCAGATTGTCACGCTTATTCAGTTGTTCTGAGCCTGAGCATTGAGCACATCAGGTTTAGCCTGTCTTGGATGGCGATACAAGTGGCGGTTTCTTGTATTAATCACCAACGCCCCCCAAGAAAGATTTGGAGTCGATTATCTTCATTCCTAGCTCATCTTTTTTCTTTTATTTATTTATTAATTATTTTGTGGGGATCCTAGCTCAGGTTCTTGATTTGGCCACATGCTTGCCAGGATCCAGGATAGGACACTGGCGCTGGTGATAGGCTGATAGCTATTTTCTGCACATTTTATAAATGTTGATGTTTCTTCAAACATTAGATATGTGCTGAAATGATCAATGGATGCTGCAAAATGAAATGGTGATCTGATTCTAGTTAGCTTGCATAGTTCAAATTGACCTTTTTTTCTAAAATTTATTGTGGTGTAGGATTTTCTTTAAAGTTTTATATGGTTCAGTTCAGCATTCTAATGGTATTTGCACGAATCGAATATATGCAGTATGTTGATCTTGTTACATAGCTTGAAAAAAGTATCATATGCAAGGAGTTACACTACTACATCCATGAAAATGGTCAGTTGTTGAACAATCATAATATAATAAAATTGAAACGACAGAAAAGGACCATAATTTGCCCGGCGAAAAGGACCATAATTTATTTGAAATTGGTTAGCATTGGAAGATCAAAAAATATCCGATTATTCCCATATAGCTTTATGCCTGTAACCTTGTGAATTTAATCTGGGAACATTGTATATAAATGTAGGTGCTTGAGCCCTGAGCTCTTTCGTTGATTCTATCGAGACACAAGAATAGAAAAATGGAAAGTGTCGTTGTTACTGCTGCTGAGGGTGCTGTGAAAACACTGCTGGGTAAACTGGGCTCTTTTCTTTCGCAAGAGCCCCGACTTCTTGGTGGGGTCAGAGGTGAGTTGCAATACATCAAGGATGAACTTGAGAGCATGAACGCATTCCTCCAGAACCTTGCAGCCACAAGCAGCCACAGTGTCCAAGTGAAGATCTGGATGAAGCAAGTCAGAGAGATGGCTTATGACGCTGAGGACTGCATTGATGAGTTCCAACACCACTTTGGTGGCTATTGTGGTAATGGTATTGTAGGGTTTATATATAGGATGAAGCATCTTATGTACACTCTGAAGGTCCGCCATCGAATTGTCATGCAAGTGCAAGAGCTTAAGGTTCGTGCTCGAGATGTTAGTGACAGGTATGCGAGATATAGCGGTGCTAATGCTATTGTTGATGCCTCTGACTCGAAGAATACCACCACTTCAATCTCAACCTGTTTGTCCCTTGACCCTAGGCAAGTTATTGGTTTTATACAGGATGATCTACTTGTGGGAATCAACAATCGGAGGGACAGGGTCCTAACATATCTAAGAGTGGACAGTGATCAAGAACTAAGGGTAATATCAATTTTTGGCTTTGGAGGATTGGGCAAGACTACCCTTGCCAAGGCAATATATGATAGTCCACAGGTAAAGAATGGTCAGTTCCATTGTCAAGCTTTTGTTACCGTATCCCAGAAAATTGATCTAAAGGCTCTATTGAGAGACATGCTTGGGCAGCTTATTCCACCTGCTTCTGATCAACATGTCAGCTCAGACATTGAGGATGAACATCTCAAAGCTATTGAAGTATGGGATGTGAAAAGACTTGGCGACAAACTACGTTCATTATTCTTGATGATATTTGGTCTGATTCGGCATGGGATACTTTTAAGTTTCTTTTGCCGAAGAATCATGTTGGAAGTGTAATAATTGTTACCACAAGAATCAGAAGTGTGGCGAATTATTGCTCCCATCTCCAGCATGATTACAGTTATGAAATTGAACCCCTGAATGAAATAGAATCCAAAGAATTATTCTTGCGGAGATTGTTTGGCCAGTTACATGAGTGCCCACAAAACATACAGAAAGTTTCAGAAAGCGTCTTGAAGAAATGCGGTGGTATGCCTCTAGCTATCAATAGTATAGCTGGGCTTTTGGCTTGTAGGCCTGTTAAGAGCTTAGAAGAAATGCAGAACTTACAAAACTCTCTTGGATCTGAGATGGATTCTTTCTCAACCATGGAGAAAATAAAGCAGATACTACTATTAAGTTACAATGATTTACCCTACCATTTGAAGACATGCTTCTTGTATTTTAGTATCTTCCCAGAGGACTACAAGATTAAAAGGAAAAATGTTGTCCGGCAATGGGTGGCAGAGGGATTTGTATCAGACAAGCGGGGACAATCTGCGGAGCAAGTTGCTGAGAGCTATTTTGCAGAGTTTATCAATAGGAGTATAGTCCAACCTTTAGATATAAGTGACAGCGGAAAGGTTAAGACTTGCAGGATCCATGATATAATGTTGGAGGTCATTGTAGAGATGTCTGTTGAACAAAATTTTATTTCACTTATGGGGGATCAACATACAATGATTTCCTATGACAAGGTTCGACGTCTTTCCTTACATGGCCATGGTGCATATAATCTATCAACTAGCTTGGAATTATCACATATCCGATCCCTAAGCTCCTTTGGGGATATGCCAAGAGCTTTGCGCTTTGACCGTGCAAGATTGCTCAGAGTGTTAGATCTAGAAAGCTGTGAATTTCTGAGGAATCGTCAACATCATCATATTTGTGCATTGTTCCATCTAAAGTACCTCAGTCTAAGAAGAGCTCACAACATAGATAGGCTCCCAAGAAAAATAAAGAAATTGCAGAGCTTGGAAACTCTAGATTTAAGGGGTAAAGGTATAGATAAGTTACCTGCTAGTTTCATTGAACTGGAGAATTTGGTCCATTTCCGTTCAGGTTCTACCTACTTGCCGCATGGCTTTGGGAGAATGAAAAGCATACTAACATTGGGATTGATAGAGATCTCAGATGACACATCTTGGAGGATACAAGAAATTGGCTGCTTGATGCAACTGGAGAAGCTCTGCATATGGTCACGCGATGGCATGAACAAGGAGAACTGGGAGTCCCTACTCACCGTCATTGAGAACTTAAGCAGGCGCCTCCTGTCACTCTCAATTGAAACGGACAGGAGAACTTGTTCTTTGCCACTTGATTTCTCATCCTCCCCACCTCTTCTCCTGCGAAGCCTCCTGTTATATGGAAGTTTGGAAGCATTGCCAAGTTGGATGGCATCGCTGGATAACCTTGTGAAATTAACTCTTGGTGGTACTAAATTAGAGGAGGATGATATACAGATTCTCCAGAAGCTCCCACGATTGTTTTCTCTTAGACTGTGGTTTGCATTTGCCGTAGAGAAGTTTGTTGTTGCGCCCTGAGGGTTTCCCAATCTTCAGTTACTTGCGATTCAAGGTTGGAATGGGCCTCTTCAGATGATTTTGGAGGAAGGAACTATGCAGAAGCTCCACAAGTTGGTGTTGGTGGCATCATTTCGTGATGCTACTCTAAAGAGCATAAAAGGGACTAAGTATCTGCGAAGTCTCCGGACAGTTGAAATAAGAGCTAAATCTACTCCATGCATGGAAGCTCTGCTGGATGAGCTGAGACTTGAAGCAAGCCATCTTCCCAACCATCCGACTGTAATTTTCAAGAGGGCCTGAGTCCATCCATATTTTGCATCAAGTCATCAGTGGTAATGCCCAGAAATCTGTTTTCATGTCTCGAGCTTGGTTACTGTTATTAGATTCACTTTGCGGTTTCATGTTCTTGTTAATGGTTGAATGCTTTGACCAAACAAGCTTTAAGCTTGGGGTTATATTTTTTACTAGTAATGCGTGTTAAGTCTTGTTTAATATATATCTTGTTCACTTAATTTTGTTGTTCGTTAAAAGCTTCATTTATACATTTCTTTTATGAAAGAAATAGCCGTAGTTCTGCCAATGCATTGAAGAAGAAAAATGTTCCAAGAGAAAACCTTAAAATACATCCTTTGTTGATGTTCCATTTTCATGTATCGTGTTTGTTCTTTAAGCATTTTATCAAGTATGAATATCCAACACATACTGTCGCTTGCTTCTTGAACTTGCAATTAAAATACAGATATTTATCTGATTCGTGGCCAACAAAAAATTGATTATTGGCAATATAAGGTGTAAAGGATTACTTGTTAGTTTTGTCAATCACAAATACCAAGGTTCATTTTCCTGCAGGTGAGAAGGATATTAGCAGCGATAATTATTCTCTGTTTCCAGTAGAATTATACAATACAGCCTCGGGTTGTCATTTGAGAGGTAAGAGGCTTCCGAGCTTTTTTTCTTTTCTTTTTCGCATTTGTCCATGACTGATTATCGATGCATTTCATGGCAGAAGCTTGCTCCATCAGATTTCCCGAATGATCTAACAATCATCAGGTACTAGTGATTCAACCCAGTGCTGAGGATTCTTGTGGTGAACTTTGAGAAAGGATCCATTCATGACATCCAGAAACTGAAGCTGAAGCAGCTCCGATTTCTGGACTAATTATGATTGGATGATCGAAAATGATGTACCTCTGAGTTGAATGATCAATTGAGCTCTCTGAAAATAAGGATACTGTTGTTTTTGCTTTGGAAAACTCTATGAATCATACTGCTCAATCTATGTATGGAACTGGAGTATGTCTTTTCATGGGGTTGTGGATTAGAATGCTGGACATTTTTTGAAAGCATTTTCCTGGTGGCCTGCCCGGAATCCAGGCAACTACGGTGGCTGCTACTCTCGGCTACTGGGCACCCAAACTGTCTGCCGCTCAATGAAGTCTCCTTCCATACTTGGCTATGCAAGTATCGGAAGACCATATCGGAAAAACAGCGGCGAGGTTTCGACACTATCGTCACTCTAGGAGCATGGTGAATATGGAAGGAGCGGATTTCCCGTGTGTTTCGAACATCACCAGCGGAACTAGACTGATGTTGCCAAGGCAATGACGGAGAAAGCAAGCTTTGGAGATTGGCGAGGGCAGCTGTCCCTCATCTAAAGTCTAGGTCTAGGTAGCATCATGTCGCTGGGAGAATAGGATTGTTTTCCTCCCTTTTTTTTTTCTTCTTTTACCCCGTCTCAGCCCTTCCTCCTTTTCTTTCTTCCTGTGACTATCTTACATTTGTTTTACTTCTCTTCATATAAAGATGCACAAGTTTTTTGCGTATTCCCGAAAAAAAAAGACATTTCTCCCTCTGAAGATTAAACATTTTCTATGGTTGGCTACAGGATTCAGTGTACAGTTCAGTTGATAAGGAGAAAATGGGGAGATTCTACTTCAGGCGTGTTTGTGTGCTAGATATGAAAATGCAAAACTTTAAATTGGTGCAAACCTAGTGGCTTCTCTAAATTATTATATTTGACTTGCACACTATCCTTTCTCCAAGTACAAATGTAAATTTCCTCAAAAAAACTGTAGTAATTACCAATTTACCAGTAATGCGCTGTAACCTTTCTCAAATAGACAACATCTTATAATTCATACCATAAATCTCTAAAATATGGAAAATATATTGATATATATTATGTGAAAAACACCATTACTAGATTTGAATATTTTTGAAATGTGCAATTAGAAAGCATAATGACCAAATATGTACTTTAGAACGTATTGATATATCCTAGAAGACAAGTAAAAACCACATAAATGAAGTTTTAATTAATTATACCTCAATAAAAATAAAGTATCCCTCTGTCTCAAAAAAGAATGTATTTTAGTTTTTGGTTTTGTATTTTTAGTTGTGGGGTCCATTATACCTCTTATTATCACTTTATCTTTTTCTTCTTAGTTTAGCCATCTAGATCTTGTTTGGCACAGCTCGAGATTAGAATATCTTAGAGTTGGGTATTTTGAACTTCATAAATCAATGGATCTGGATATGTGATTATGCTGATAACATTAGATAAATCATTTTATTCTTATTTTATTTGATATTGAAAATTTTAAACCACTATATTTAACACATAAACTTTAAATCTATAGTAGATCTGAAATTTGAAGCTATGGAGTTATGCCAAACATGACCTTTGTACTACCTCCTCCTCATTTTTTTTTATTAATGAAGGGTATAGCATTTTTTTAGGAATGCTACCAGACTCCATTCGGACAGGATGAAACCTTAGAGGTGTCACCTGATACCTCGACGGTATCCTGTTCGTACGGGATGATACCTCAGAGATATCGTCTGATATAGATCTCTTCCTGAACCAAACATGAATCTTTCAATTCATTTGGCTCTCACGCTCCCTTTTTTTCTTTTTCTTTTTTTGCTATGGCTACTTCCATTTTTTTTATGTAATGAGCCTATCCTCTACCCTCTCTTTTATGTTTACATTTCAATATACCGCAACCCATATAATACTAGATAAATATTAAGAGGATAAAAATCTATCATGGGCAACAAAGTTATTTTTTTATTTGTATTTTCCCTTTAGTTAAAATTTTCAATTTCATTAAGAAAAACTAAATAGAAAAATGAAAATGAAAATGGATATATCCTACTTTTTCTTCAAATCTAAAAACTTTCATTTTTTTTATACATAGGTCGTCGATTTGCATTGGATAAAAAAGAGAGGGTGCCCTTGTAGTAAATAGTCCAAACCATTTTATCGATATGTGTTCTATATCAGATAAAATTTATCCATTAGCTATTTCCTATTTAAACCATTTGGTACATTAATACTAATATAGTTGTAGAAAGAGTACCCCTTTTGCCTAGACTTCAAGCAGCTTAGCTTTAACTATGTTAATGGTCTCATATTATTGGTCTATAGAGAACATATATCAGATGATATCTTTTAGGTATCATTCCGTTCGAATGGGTACTAATTTCCTTTTTTTTTTTCCTTCTTTTGCTTAATATGGCTTTGATTTTTTTAAAACAAGAGTTTTTTTCATGGAGAGGACCAAAATGCCCCTCACCCCCTCCCTCCCATCTCTCTCTCCTCCGGAGTCCGGACACCTCTACTCTCCCCGTCTTCTCTCCCTCTCTCCTCATCCTCCTCCGTGTTCCTGATCTGCGCACGCACGGCCGCCCTCCTCCTCCTCCCCCCGCGCTTCGCTTCCTCGCGCGCGCGCGTCATCGAAGCTGGCCTAGAGACTCCTCGGCGAGAGGACGGTTCTCCCCCCTCTCCCGCCCCCCGCGCGCGCGCGGCAGGTTTGGGAGATCGACGGTGGTCGGTGGCCTCCTCCCTCCTGTCCTGCCCGGTTCGAGTCGAATTGAAAGGTAGTATTATGTTCTTGTCTACGTAGCTCTCTCCCCCTCCTCAATTCCACCTCATGAGCCGGCGATTGGGGATTTGATGGTTTATCTTGCCCCCCTCTCCAACCAGTTTCTTCCGCATTTCCCCCCAAATTTTGCTGAAAAAGAATTTGGGGGCGTTTTGGGCACTTTATATTCTTACTTGTATGTAGTACAATTTAACGAGATCGGCAAAAAAAAAGTTTTCTTTTAGTTGCAGAAAATCAAGAGAGGATGATACGCTTTGTTGTACTTTCCCTGATCTATTTTCATATTGATGATAAATGAACTGAAATCCTTGCGGTTGTTGAATGGATATTGATGATAAATGAACGAGTGCAATTCTCCCCCCAATGTTTAGCAGGGGCACGATACAATGAATAATTGGGTGTTTGCGTCTCAGTAAATTTGTTCTTGTGCTAAGTAATACTCCTATATTAACTACACCTGGTAAAAAAAAAGAGAGAGATTTTTTTTTTGGGATGAGGTTGAACTTATCTGAAATTTAGGGATATGACTGAATGCTTCTCTCTGGTAATGATTGCTCAACAGCATAAACTAGGACCATCTTTTTCCATGATGTTGAAGTTCTACCCTTTAAGCTAACGCATTGTAGTAAATGTTTAATATGGTACTGCGTCCAAATCAGTCTTCTCATATCATCTAGTTGTAGTGATGGCCTGATGGGTCTGGCGTTGCCCAGCTTTTTAGTATATGGTTGCCATATTTACAACATTATTTTGTTAAGCTTGGTACAAGTCTACCCTTTTCATCAGTTGCATTCTCTTGTCTTCCATATCTTGCTATTGTCGTTGACCCCTGGCCTCATTGTGGTCCTATATAAGAGTACTGCTGCTGAATGTGAACATATCTTGGATTTACTGTTCATATTTAGCGGTAATCAATTCATGTTCTGCACAGTCTTTTACACTTTTCCTCATATTTTTTTCCATTATATACAATTTAATTTACAGTGAAACTGAATATGTGAACAGTTTTTCAGCTTTATTCCAGTGTTTATGAATTAATATTTTTCATCATCTTCTAATATTTGATAGGCACAGCTGGTTCTGTCATTTGGCTGTTCAGAAGCCTGGAGGCTGGGCCATTTGATATCCTGAAGTTTTGAGTAAGAATGGAGAATGGGCTGTCCGATGAAGTTCTTAAAGCAGTTTTCCCTCTACTGGATGGTCAAGACCTAGTCTTTTGCATGCTTGTATGTCGTCAATGGCGAGAAATTGCAAAGGATGACTACTTCTGGAAATGCATATGTGCGAGGAAGTGGCCTTCCATTTGCAAGCAACCTCCTTCAGATGCAAACTACCAGAAGCTCTATTTAACCTTCTCCAAACCACGGACGCCACAGCACCTTCCTGTACCAAAGCTCACATTCGAGGATCTTGTGTTTTACATTGACATGTGGCTTGACGGATCACTCATCTTCTCTCAAGCTGTTTCAGGCTGCATCCTTCGAGGAGGTCTGCAGAATACACCTTGTGGCATTCCGGATGTACTTGTAGCACATTTGACTGCTCCTGACTGCATTCTGATGATGGAGGTTGAACCCAAGCTGGAAATAACTATGGGGCCATCCATCACTGTGTCTGTTCTTGCCCACCGAAAGGATACAAAGAAGATGGCTTGCGTCATTAATAAGTCAACTTTTGATTACATCGACAGCAACGCAGCACGGGCATTGGCATATGAATATCTCCAGTTTTCACCAAGATACCCTTTTATATCAGACATCCGAGCATGGATGTCTTTGCTTTTCCTGTACAAAGGAACAAACGTCATCGAAGTATTTGGTATAGAGCTAGACTTTTGTGATGCAGCAAGGTCGGAGACTGAAATTCTTTGGCTCTTAGACATGCTTGATTGGAAATAGAAGCTTTAATCGTTTTTTCTGTTGTGATTTGACGCATGTAAAGAATGTTCATGGTTAATTCTTGTTATCCAGTTGAAGCATGTGTACTACTGAACCATATGTACTGTTGGAAATTTGGAATAAAAATGGTTCACGCCACTCCAATGTATGATTGTTATCAGTTTGGTGAAGCAGACCTCTTCTTGCATTAGCCGATGTGCTTGGCATATCAGGATAATAAATTTGACACTGTCGAAGGAAAGAATTCTGACGGTTCAAAAGCTTTGAGAGAGTTTTTAATCCTCTGACACTGTTGCTTATAGAATATACATGTAGGAACATATCTGCAAATGCCAAGGAAAATTCTAGAAAAGTTGGACATGTACTCCTAGAATTATACATATATGTAAAGTCTCATATTCAAATTCATTATATTTTAACTGTAACAAAAAATTGAAAAAATCACATGGTATTAAGAGTAAAAATTATCTTTTTTTAGGCTAAAATATAATGAATTTGAAGATAAAATTTCACACGTAGGTGTAATACTACTGAAATCATATGTACAATTTTTTCTATAATTTTCTATGATATTTGCTAGTTTTTTTTTAGGGGAAGGTCAGTAGCTCTTTATTCAGTTACCATGGTTTGATTACAGTCCATTAGCAAATCTTAGGAACTCCGAGAGTCCGCAAGCAAATAGTATACCTTAGGAGCTCCGGAGAACTAAAGAACCAGGTCAAAATGCATTCGCTATAAAAGCAATCGTTTGGTAAAACATGAGCTACCCTATTCGCTGACATACGAATCCAAACGACCCTAAACTCCTGGAAAGAGCTCAGCAAGATTTTCAAATCTTGAATCATCGTCCTATAAAGCGAACGAGTAAAGATCACATCAACTAGTATTTGTTGGACTACCATTGGAGCCTCTAGTTCACTCACCAACTGCACTGCTCTTCGACAAGCCAATATTTCTGACATTGTGGCATTACAAACTGAAGGACATAAGTGAGAAGTTGGTACTAAAAACTCACCTATGTCATCCCTTACAACAGCTCCAGTAGCACCCTAAAAATTTTCGTCCTGAAAGCTACATCGGTCTTTACTTTCAACCACCCCATTGGAGGTTTCTACCATTGTTGTGTCGGTTGCTGGACCTTAGATGCCTTCTTTTCATTCAAGTTCGCCCATTCTTCCAATTGGAACATAATCCTTTCCACTACACAAGAAGGATTCTCCGGTGTGTCAACATGCCAAGCATCATTTCTATCAAATTTTAATTTTTAACAATCCGTTCCCAAAACATATATGCTATAGGTCATTTTTAACCCGAAATATCACAAATTCGTACTAGTCTATAGGAGGAGTTGACAAATGAATTTCAAAATCTTTTCGAAACACTTTGGTTCTGTTTGTAATGATTAATAAGTGGTTTCAAACGGATTTGTATCAGGTGCAGTTGGTACTATCACTGCAACTTATGCAGTCCACTGCCACCTGTTAGATCCGAATCTAACGGTTCACATGCACCCGGATACTGTAGAACACTGTGGCAAGAAATATTCAGTATTTTTGCGTCAGTACTGTAGCTGAAGATCTGGTCCATTCATCACCAAAATGAACGGCTGTAATCACATGCAGTAGTTTAACTTGCAGTCGCTATTCCTACTGCAGGTGATCCCAATCCGTTTCAAACACACTTTTATAGAAATACCATTTTTCAAAAAGTTTGGATCCTATGGAGCAAGAATAGGGGTTTAAAATCAAAATATAGACATGGAGAATCGTAATCTTTAGAGATACATGAGATATAAGATTTTAGTAGATTTTCACAAATACATTATAGCTAAGATGAGTGAGATCCATAGTAATTCTTTAAGACAAGTGAAACTATATTATTTATAACTAATTTGTGTAAGAAATATTAGTTCTCCCTTTATTTGTTGAGGCAAGTGATGATCAAACAATCGATACTTAGGGCCCCTTTGAATCACAGGAATGAAAAAACGGAGGAATAGGAATGACATAGGAATGACCGTTTGATTGGACTAAAGGAAAAACACAGGAATTTGAAGAGAGATAAAGACTCAAAGGATTTCTTCCATGAGGTTCTACCTCTTATTAAAATTCCTTCAAAACTTATATGGAAAGATACATTCTATAGGAATTTCATAGAATTCCATAGGATTCATTCCTTTGATTCAAAGAGCTTCGTGGGAAAAATTCCTATAGGAATGAAATCCTCTAAAATTCCTATGAATTTCCTTTGAATCAAAAGGAGGCCTTAACAACCGTAATACCTTTTCTATCAGTTGATCACATTTGCTGAGAATAATAATTCAAACAAAGCAACTCCTTTGTCAACAGGTCTAGGGATCACAATCAACATACCGGACGGTACAGGTCTTGGGATGCCAAGCGGTATTTACTGTACTGGCCAGAATAATTTTAAATTCAAATATGAAATTTAACTTTAAATTTGAGTATACGAATTTATATTCTCTTGCGACTTCTTTTTTTTTAGAAATTCAGGGGTGAGTGTGTGTCTGCGTTTGTTCTTGCAACTTGTGTAGGTATATTTGTATAGATAAATGAGAACTCGGAGAGGCACATTCAATGGGGAAAAAACAGAAATATAGAAAACTATATATGGCCCACAGAATATCACACGGCAAAAATCCCCAAAAAAAAAAACTAAAACAAAAGTTTGGCCCAGAACCAACAGACAATTGGAATAGCCTATCCGCCTTTTCCTGGCCATAATGCACGAAGATATATTCATTAGTTTCACCAGTAATAGAAGGAACTGGAGGTACAAAATGAGTATAGTTACATAGTATAGTTACACAAAATTACTTCTATACAGATGCAATATCTCCTCGGTTCATGGCATCTATCTATCACTCCAGTCCAGTCTGTTTTTTTTTAGATAATGACCAGTCCAGTCTGTTGAAAAGGAAGAAAAATATTTGACAAACGTCACATCTAATCAGAAGAACATCTGCAATATAAAACCATTAGCATTTTGCTGTAAAGCAATATTATCATCTATGCGTGAATCTTTACATTAAACGGCCGGCATAGCATGCTCGAGGGTATTTTTGCTGCAGCTGGGGCCACTGCACGAAGAACTGATCAGCTATTCGTAGCTTGTACAACAGTAAACCGCTTAATGAAAGCTTCTTCACTCTTGCAATGCTTTCGATGTAGAAAATGGAGGACCATCCCAAACCAAGCACCTGCAGAAATACAACAATCCAAAACTCAGTAGAGATATAAAGCATTATGCTGACTTGGAAGTGAGACAAATAATCAAATATGAAGATTGGATGTTTGGATTTAGGCAAGATGGCCCTAGACACTGTTTTATAACAAATACTTCCCCTGTTTCATAATGTAAGACTTTCTAGTATTGCCCATATTCATTTAGATGTTAATGAATCTAGACATATGTATGTGTTTAGATTCATTAACATCTATATGTATGTGGGCAATACTAGAAAATCTTACATTGTGAAACGGAGGGGGTAATAAAAGGTACCACAAGTCTTATACTGCATAAAGTACAAATCTTCTATTGACCAGCCAATATAAGAGCTAGGATGTGAAGGTACCTTCAGAAGAAAAGCCGAGACACACAGAGGAATGCATGTCCCTGGACCATTGCAAAAAATCTGCAGGCGTACTACAAGCAATTAATATATCTGTGTTCATGTTACATTATGGACACTAATACCTTGAAAGTTGAAACAGAAAACACACCACTTGTGGTCTTATTCTTATTATTATCCAGATAGCATGTGACGTAGCAAGCAATGTCGTTGCGATGGAAGTAATATAAGATTGGCCTACTTCACGACTGCGATATATCTGTACGAACTGTGCATTCTCAACACCCTCTTCTTTATCAACCTGAAAAGGCATCAATTAGATTCATTAGTACAAATTTTAACTACTTGGGAAAATTCCAACAAATCATAACTTGACAAAGCATGGTAAATTCACCTCAACCCGAACCAATGACTGCTCATAGACCTGTGCCTTCTGAAGGCTCATGTTGTCAGTAAGTGCAGCTACATAGTACCTTGGAGTAAATCTATCCTTCTGAAGTGTAGTTACAACATTCATCATTTCTGCAGTATGTCCTCCTGCAAAACAAGCTAAAGGATCAATAGGTGTTCCATAATGCTGAGTCTCTTGTGGATAGTAGTAATTGTTACACAAAGTATATACTTAATTCCCTCAACAGTGCGGTGCACAAGAGTTTGTTAAAATAGCAATGTTGGAAGAGATATGATAATTGATACTTCAAATTATGCTTATGTAAGTACAGGCTGAGAAAATAGAGCAGCAGGCGATGAACATGTACAGGCAGACAATGAACATGTACAGGGATATTCCAAAAAGACCAAACCAATGCAAAGGAAGATCAAATTGTCAGACATTTATGCACTATTTACAATATATAACTCGTTTGGACATAAACCTGTGCAAGACACATATGGCCAAAATGAATCCAGCATACAGAGACATGTGGTATTAATATTAACACATTAGCAGAACCAGAACATTTGCTTCTGTAGGGAATGATTGGAGGAGGGAGAACATTTGGCTTGCAACGTAACCAGATGCAATATGCAAATAAATATAATCTTACAGTATTTGAAGAAAATAAAATGGACATGGCATATTTCTAGTCAAGGCTACAAGTAATAACTATCCTGGGTGTGTTCGGCACAAGAGGTTCCCAACTCCTCTCCCTCGTATTCCGCGCGCACGCTTTTCAAACTACTAAATAGTGTTTTTTTTTTTTGCAAAAAGTTTCTATACGAAAGTTATTTAAAAAAATCATATTGATCCATTTTTGAAAAAAAAAGCTAATACTTAATTAATCACGCGCTAATGGACCGCTCCATTTTCCGTGCACAGGAGATTGGTTCCCATCTCCTCCATCCGAACACAGCCTAATTCAGGAAAGGATTCATCTGATACAACATTGGATGGTGCTTTCACTAGAATTGCATGAGGAGCACAACATTCCCATTGTTAGTCAATAGATACCCTATACAATGTACATGCTAATTGACAAACAATCTCAAATCTTCAAGTATTTCACATGTCTCCAGTCTGATTTTATGAACTTTCTATTGCATGACAAGGAAATGGATAATATACATTACATACTGACTCTTAACCTAGGTGTGTAGGACATGTGAAATAACAAATGTGATTGCACACGCACTTTATTTATTTCTCTATTGAATTACAATGAAGGAAGTGTATAAGCTAATTGATAAAAAAAATCACAGATATTCAAGTATTTCGCATGTCCCAAATCTCTGTTTTTTTAATCTTTCAAGTGAATGACAAGCAAAGAAATGGATATATACACATTGAATCTGATCTTAAGCATGCAGAATATGTGAAAATAACAAATGTAATTGCAAATAAGTCCTCATGGCTACAACACATATTTCAGGAGGAAGAAATTCTACTGCACAAATAGGCCATAGGCCATAGGTTATTCAATCTCCAAGATGAACTCACCAGACCCAAGGACGATGAGAGACCGCATTCCAGCAGCTGAAGCTGAGAGTTTCGAAGGCATGTGACCGCTGTGATACATCACATATGCGAAGCGGACAAGAAGCAAAGACACAAGTACTGGAAAGGCGCAACACACGGCCATGGAGACATCCGGCCCCATCTCTGTCAGGGCTGACGAGATAAGATATCACGCAGGATTTTGCTGTTGGATATTCAGCGTTAAAAAAACTGTGCCATACAAATAAAAAATAGGCATCAACATGCTCTTAAAAAAACAGTAGCACAAATAGTTCATTCTGGGAGATGTCTTGAGTAGTTTGAATGAATTATATAACAATTGAAGAAAAATACAATTTCATGTGTAACAAGCAGTTCATTCTAGAGATGTCTCAAGTAGTTTGAAAACCTTTTATCTTTATGTATTATCATTGGTAAGGTATGTAGATTGGAAGGGAGATGCGGCATCAACTCTGAACTTGAAAGATATTTATAATAAAATCGAGCAAGCTTAACTAAATTTTCATTGCCATAAGCAGAAAATGATTCAGTGGCTAACTGGTACTCTATTTGGAACATTCAACAAATATGCCCTCCTCACTTCATCTCTATTTTCAGGAGCATAATTGGTCTATTGATATTCGTTAGTATGTTGGATCTGCAAATAGATTTAGAGAATGAAGTCTAGAAATAAACCAAAGAATAGCATGACATAATCAGGGCCTGTTTGGTAGGGCTCCAACTCCTAGATCTTAGCTCCTAACTCCAACTCCAATGGGAGCTTGCTCCTATAGGATCTAGAGGTGGGCTGAAAGTGTTTGGCTAGTTTGATCAGCTCTAGAAATCTTTGAAGAGTGAAGGAAGCAAAGATGGACAATTTTATCCTTCGGTTTTCTGAACTGAAAAGGTTGCAAGTTTTCTTTGCTGGTAGCTACTTTAAACACAGACACTCATTTACCATATGGCTAGTACCAATTAGTTCTTTACTGTACTTTATTCTATAACAACATGCTACATTCATTAAATCAATTTTCTGAACTTTGTGCAATCCACTGAAAATATTTCTGAACAAATTCTCTCCTCATCACTACTCTATAGTTCTATATGAAATTCCACATACACACACATAGGAGAAGTTTTCAGATCTAAATATTTTCTATTTGTTCTACGCACAGTAGCAACAAATCAACCAATATATTCAATCATTCGAATAGAGAGTAGAGCAGATTTAAAGGCAAAAGGTGGGGAAAATTTTAGGGTTTGGGAAAAAGAGTACCTTGCCACTAGCGCCCCCTGTCAGCCGTCCTGCGTCGTTGTTAGCCGCTGTGCTTGACCTCAACCGCCGTGCGCCACATTCAGCCACTACGCGGCAGCCCTCCGCCGCCGAGCCACCCTCACTGTAGGGCGTAGCCAGCAGGCGAGCAGGAGGCGGGAAGCGAACTAGCCAAGCAGATCGGCCTCCCGCGGCTCTGGGCTCCTCGCCGGCTAGCGAAGCAGATCGGCGGCCGGCCCCTCGCCAGTCGCGGGATCGCAGCTCGCGCACTCTCCGTCGCCGCCGTACCGCCCGTCGCCCGCCGCAATCGCACGCTCACACCCGCAGCCAGCCGTCCCCACTCCCGTGTCCTGTACGCAGCAGCCCACCAAATGAGTTAGTGGGCCAAATGATTAGATTGGCCTCTAAATGGGCCTTTAAACATGCAGGTTCCCTTCTGCCATCACTCCTCTTCATCTTCCTCGAGCTTCTAAGGCCTGTTTTTTTTTTAAAAAAAAACTTTATGCATTTATTAAATATAGAGTAAATTGCATCAATGGTACACGAACTTGTCAGGTGGGTGCAATCTAGTACATAAACTTGTAAAACGCTCGTTTTGATGCATGAACTTGTTTGGTGCGTGTGAACAAGGTCAAAATCGCACGGCAAGGTTAATCTTACTAATTTTGTTGTTGATTTAAACTCTATGTAAACATGTGTCTAAGAAAGATAAACATAATATAATAAGGCGTAATGATCGCATAACAAAAATAATACAAGTAGTAATGCAAGGATAGACACAAAGAAAGATAAAGTGAAAACTAAGTTTGCAAATATAACTTTTTCTACTATGTGCACGCACGTCATCTATTAATTTATAATTTATAATGTTCAACATAGAAAATTCAGTCTAGTCATGCCATTTTAGCCTTAGCTTGCACGTACCAAATAAGTTCATGCACCAAAACAAGCATTTTACAAGTTCATGTATTAGATTGCACCCACCTGACAAGTTCGTGTACCGCTGATGCATTTTACTCTTAAATATATATAGGAGGTTATGTACAACGCACATGAGTGAACACCATACCTCTCAAAGAAAGTTAGATTTGGTAGGCTACGATAGAACAGGCAGATAGACGTACAACACGATTTACAGAAAAACCTCTCCAAAATAAGTTACACAGTGATCCTGAAAATAAGGACTCCAAAAGGACACCAAAAAGTAACCAAGTCCCTACTTCACTTATTCTTCCAATCCGATGAGCAAGACAATGAAGCCGACGGTGGCGACAGTAGGGATGGCAACGGGGCGGGTTAGGGACGGGTTGGGCTGGAACGGCCCCGCCCCCGACCCCCAAACTCTCCACCCGCCCCCGGCCCCGAGTGGACATACGGGTGGAAATCATCCCCCGCCCCGACCCCTGCGGAGCCCCGCAACCACAGTGAGTAGCAACTCCATCGATTCAGCCCAAAAATAGCATGAATACTTCACTTGAATACTGAATAACATTATCAAAATTCAGCAAAAACAGAAATATTTTCATGATCCATCATTCCTCAAATATTGACACATCAATCATTCAAGTTCAAGTGTTCAATCACTGATCCAAAACAATTCACCACAAGTTCAACCACTGATCCACAACAATTCGCCCTAAATCATGTTCTAATTAGGGATGGCATCAGATCGGAAATTAGGGATGAAAGAACACAGAGATATAGACCAAGAAATACCTCTCAGAGTTTCTCTCGACGTGCGTCTCAGAGACGCTCTCAGCTTGTGTGCTGTGCCGGTGCGCCGCCGCCACGCCTCTGCGACGCTGCGCCGCCGCCGCGCCGCCGCGGGCGCTGTCCCGCCGCGCCTCTGCACCGCCGGAAGAGAGGGGAAAGGAGGGGACAGGACGGTGGAGAGGGCGACCGGAGAGGAGGGACGTGCTGCCGCAGTGCCGCTGCCGCCTGCTGGGGAGGGGCGCACGCGTACAACGCTGTTGCCGTGTTGAGCTAGCGGCTAGCCGCTAGGGGCATTGGCGCCGGCGGCTGGGAGTGAGGAGAGGAGCGATGCGGTGGGTAGGGTTAGGGTTTTCCTGGGCCTAATGGGCCATATGACATTTTGTGCTGGTGTTCAGGGTTGGCACTACATTTAAAAGTCTAATATGCACCCCTCGAAGCCCCGCGGGTGAATTACCTCCCCCGCCCAATTGCAGGCCCCGGCCCCGACTCCTTGGGTCAGAAAATCCACCCACCCCCACCTCCGTAGCGGCAGGGTCCCCCGCGGGGGAAATTGCCATCCCTAGGCGATAGTGCTTCACTTATTCTTCCAATCCGATGACCAAGACGATGAAGCTGACGGTGATGACGGTGAGGGCGAGGTTGACTATAGAAGATACCATTGAACCGCAAACTCAACAGGGACCTCTCACAAATATAGGTTGAAGCAAACCCGATAAATAAAAGAAGATTCCATCTAACCTTGAAAAGGATTTGTCCGAGAAAAGGAAGGGCATCAAATTGATATAATCTATGCTTTTTCCTCGAGGGTCTGCCTGCGAGTATCCGAGTATGATATTTCCTTTATACCCTTGCCAGGAGCGGAGCTAGAACAAAATGAAGGGGGTTCCACTCGCTTGCTTTACTCTGGTTTGAATAAAATTTAGCTTGATACGGGTGCTTAAGTTTAAACTGACAAGGTATATATATATGGTGAAAATAGATAAACTATAGGTAAAATTTTTTTTGAAACCGGGTTCTTAGCTCCGCCCTGACCCTTGCAAACAAATTATCCTTCTAATTTTTGGCTCAACGGGAATACCATTTATCTTTTTTTTTTGGTTCATACGATAATATATATACAAGTGAAATTCCCATTTGGGTAAATGCTAAAACCTTTCCCTTGTCAAAGATAACAGCAGCAGATCACACGCATATACAACATGAGAAACTCTGACAAACATATGAAAGAAGGAACTATAACATATACCCAAAAAAGTTTTCTCAATCATTTGAGCCATTGAGTGATAAAAATACATAGGTAACATGTGTTTTCGACCATGAATCAAGCTCATTAATAGGCGGCAGAGTACATTATGTTTAACCATGCAAAGAAAGGTACTTCGTTGAAACATATTTCGGTGTAAATTTAGTGTGGTACGGGCATATCCAAGCACGAATTTAAGTTCAGCAGTGATATGCCGTAATTTACACACATGTTTTGGGCTACAAACAAGCGCGAGTCTTTTCTTAATCAAATGGCAGTCGTCCTGCCGCTTCATTACATTACATTACATTCCTAAACTTGCTACAGAAAACAAAATAGCTTTCTCACACGAATCCTTAATAACAAAGATAAATTATTTTAGCACACGATGTAGCTTATTATAATTTGAGCAAGCAGAGCCCAGTAAACGGGCCCATAAAACCATAACAGAAGCCCCGGGTTGATCAGCCCAGCATGACGGGCCTATCGAAGATCCAGCTGAAACGGGCCATGGCGGGCTCGATGCGGGCCGCCCTCCGGTGGGCCAGCTCCTCCATCCTCCGGATCTTGGGCGCCAACCCGCACAGGTACTCCTGCGCGCGTCGGCCCTCGCCGGAGAGCCCCGCCGCGAGCTCCGCCACCCGCCACCTCCGCACGAAGTGCTCGACGAGGTCGCCGTAGTCCCTCGCCGTGTACACGCCGGCGCGCTCCGCCACGGCGGAGAACCGGGCGAACAGGCTGTGCTCGCCGTCGCCGTCGCGGCCGTCCGACATGAGCTGCCCCGGCATGGTCACCTTCCCGCGCATGACGTCCGCCAGCGCGCGCGCCATGCCGTCCGGGTCGAGCTCGAACAGCCTGCCGGACGCCATCGTGTAGCCCGCCTCGTGCCGCCTCTCGTCGGCGGCGATCACGCCGCAGATCTTGGCGAGCGCCCGGTCGCCGTGCTGCCCCGCGAGCCTCGCCGTGTGGCCGTGGGAGATGAAGGTGGCGCGCTCCTGGAACGCGCCGTAGATCAGGCCGTGGTACGGGCTCGCCGGCGCCAGCATCTCCATGCCGTTGCGGAGGAGGCGGTGCACGGTGGCCTCGACCTGGCGCATGTCGACGCGGCCGGAGAGGTAGAGGTAGCGGTTGAGGAGGTCGCCGTGGCGGTTCTCCTCGGCGGTCCAGCCGCGGAGCCAGCGCGCCCAGGGGAGGGGGCTCACGCCGGTGCCGTCGGCGAGGCCCTCGGCGCGGTTGCCCATGCTCTGGTACGTCGGGAGCGCCTCCTCCGTCACCATGTTCCCCACGAGGCAGACCAGCACCTCGTCCGGCACGCCGGCGGCGCCCGCGCGCAGCTCGGCCACGCCCTCCGTGAACGCCGCCAGCGCCTCGCCGCCGCCCGCGGCCGAGCAGGGAAGGAAGTCGTGCGGCTGCCACGCGGAGTCGACGGGGGTGAGCAGCGGGAGCATGTTCTCCTCCACCCACGCGTTCAGCGACCGGGCGATCTCCACCTGCTCCCGCCGCGCCGACGCCGCCGTGTCCGCCGGCGCTGCTGCGGTGGCCGCCGCCGCAGTCCACACCGGCGGCCGTCGTCCCCTGCAAGGTTCGCCGCCATTGACGACGAAACATATATAATAACGTGACATCACATTGTGAATAAAGTTGCAGCTACTATACCTAGTACGTGCAGGTGCAGACCCGTACAGGCCATGGAGAAGAAGATGCTTGCGAGATCTGCTGCTGCTGGTATGGATGTGATGATTGGGGCAGCAGAGCCAGGCTGACGAGGCTGTTGCTGCAACTGCGAGGCCTGAAGACGCCATTGGCTTTCTTTTCTGCCTTTGGTGCCGACAAACCACCCCGGTGCCATTTATAGAGGAGAAGGAACAGAGTGGTGTTTAGATCCAGGTGTCTAAAGTTTTGGCACGTCGCATTGGGTATTATATAGAGTGTTGTATGGGGTGTTTGGGCATTTAATAAAAAAACCAATTACAGAATCCGTCAGTAAACGTGAGACGAATTTATTAAGCCTAATTAATCCGTCATTAGCACATATTTACTGTAGCACCATATTGTCAAATCATGGAGCAATTATGCTTAAAAGATTCGTCTCGCAAATTAGTCGTAATATGTATAATTAGTTATTTTTTAGTCTATATTTAATACTTCATGCAGGTGTTCAAATGTTCAATGTGACAGGGTGCCTAGACTGCTGTTTCAGTCCACTCACGAAAACGACATGAATACCGTTTGAAAAATTTTTGAAGTCAGTAACATATACTCACTCCATTTCCAAATATTTTGAGCTAACCAACATTAAATGTTTTTAAGGCTAATTATTTCGTACAAATCCAAAAAAGGCTACAATTTTAATATTATTAAAGCTCTTGTTATAATAAACTTAGCTGTATTTACGAGGGAATTAGGGGTTCCTATTATAACCCATGACTACTTAACCAAGGGATATCATAAATAAATACTAGTTTGTCTCTTTATTGCTGCAATAACAACCTACTTCTTCAAGTTCACCGAGGCAGTTATTGATAGACAGAAAAATCATGGTATGTGTCAGGGTTATGGATACCACATACCTAATAGTAGTTGACTAAATCTCGGCAGGACCCACCACATAACATGTCCTGTACGAAAATAACCTGCGGATATAGGAGGAGTTCCGGATAAAGAAAGACAACCAGAGTTCTATATGGAAACGACAAAGGACTAATCGGATTGTATCCATATTGGTTTCCCTAGTTCTACTTGGACAAGGGGACACCTATGGGTATAAATACAAGGTCCCCTAGAAGGAAATGGGACACAATCAACACCCACCATAGAAGACACGGACAATACACACCCACCACAATATACAGGCAACATAGACGCCACAAAGCCACAAGCCAATACAAGCCAACATACGCCAAGACAAGACGCCGGATATCGACTTCAGAGATAGGCACGACTAGTCCCCTACGGTGTCTCAGGATACTGTCAGGAGAGACGAAAGCGCTATCTCTGATCTCGCTAGGCACAGGTTCGAGGAGGAAGGCTACCCTGTTGTCGACTACGAGTCAGATCGTCAGACTGCCATGTCGACAATAGTTAGATTGGCTACCCCAAATATTGTAATGGTGTGATTATCATGAATAAGAGCAATACCGGCTTCGGCCAACAGGATATAGGGTTATTATATGACAATTCAGGGGCCCGAACCTGTATAAAAATCTCTGTCTCCATCTCTTTTACGTCAGTCTCGCGTATATCCTAGTACCAACGATCCCCATGACATGCAAATACCGTAGTCGAGACATCAAACGTCGACAGTGGCACGCCAGGTAGAGGGATTTTGGTGCTTCAGGATTTTGACAAGATGGGTTTAAGAGATGAATTCTCCGACAACAAGCTACTCGACAACTTCGCTGTTGGGTGATCTGAACCTACCAGAATACGTATCCCGACAAGATCGGAACCATCGTCGTCAACAAATTCGATTTATCAAGATCGCTCAAGCTTCAACACGTCAATGCCGTGGATCACATCAATTTTGAGGTTGTCAATCAACAGTGCAGACAACCTTCGAGATTGATCAGTACCAATACACGCGCCACATCAACTGGTGGAGGGCTCGATTAACCGCGTCCAAGCCGAACACGGCATCGATCTCCACCAACAAAACAAGCGCGTCGTGGAGCGGAAATCAAAGCGTCGGATTGATCTGCTTATTGGTGTAAATGCTAGTCGGACTCGGGGAGTTTCCACGTCTGCACTACTATCCAATCTCTAGGCAGCAATCTGATTCGGGGCTAAAGACAAACAGGTCAATTAAATGACCAGATTACATGGTACGTGCACGGGGGACAGTACCATGCACGAAAAAGCATATTAAGGAGTTGTTGTTCCTCACCAAGAAGGCAAAGGTATTTAGTAGATTGAATCTACTAATTTCGTAGATACATCTAGCATGTATCTACAAAGGTACGCAATATTTTATATGCAATTTATCGTACCTATTCAGATCATACAGCATTGTCAGATCTATAATTTATTATGTTTACCTAGAGCATGTTTTTTATACAATATTTATTATGCGAGTGTTTCCGGTGTTAGGCCGACAACGGTCTAATACTGGGGCTCGCTCTATTCTCTTTTGTATGAATCATGCTTGTTTACGGTTTACATAATGCCTAATATTTACATCTGCTCGTTACATCCTGATAATACTAGAAGATCCATGCAGTTTTCTGAGTACATACTCGATATTATCTGCTATATGTCTTGTCTTCTAGAAAATATTTTTCAGGAACAATTGAGCACTCGACTAGGTTGTGGTCAAGTACACCGCATTATCGAGAACGATCTCGACAAATGCAGAGTCGTCACGCCCAACCCACCAACGAAGACCGACGACCTATCTCATAGCACCCGCCATGGCTGGACTACTCGAGAAAAGGTTGTTAACAGATAATTCCTCGCAAGCGCTGTCGGCTTGATCACCCGACATGCATGCGAACGGACATCCGGATATGCTACAAGTTGGGTGTGTGAGTCATGCTGGCCACATGAGACGCACATGTAATAAACCAACTCTAGCACCTCCATTGGTGTTCGAGAGATAACTCTACACGTTCACTGGTCCTCGAGCCAGTACATAGCAATCTCTCGCACTGCAACCTCCATGTGTTCGAGAGATAACTCTACACGTTCGCTGGTTCTCGAACCAGTACGTAGCAATCTCTCGCACCGCAACCTCCATTGGTGTTCGAGAGATAACTCTACACGTTCGCTGGTTCTCGAACCAGTACGTAGCAATCTCTCGCACCGCAAACTTCTATTGGTGTTCGAGAGATAATTCTACTCGCTCCCTGGTCCTCAAACCAGTACGTAGCAATCTCTCGCACCGCAACTTCCATGGTTCTTGAACCAGTACGTAGCAATCTCTCGCATCGCAAACTTCCATTGGTGTCACGCCCTGAAGTTCCCCTCCCTTGCTCTAAATTCATAAAATAAATCGTCCGAAGAAATTGTTTAATTTAACCTAGAGTTGAATCCTTAATTAATAAATGCAAATAATCATCGGAATCGGCATGTGGAATTTTTCTTGGATTCTACATGTCAAAATATGCTAACAGGATTTTTAGTGGAATTTTCAGAGCCTTGGAAATAATTTTAACCAATTAAAATAAGCAAAGTGCAATATTAAATCCCTGGGAAAATCCTTTTTCCTTTTTATCTTTCCTTTTTCCCCCTCTTTTCCTCCTTTGGGCCGCCGGCCCATCTCTCCCGCCCCCTCCCGAAGTCCAGGTCGCCTCCCCCTTTCTCCCTCGGGTGCTGACAGGTGGGGCCCACCTGTCAGCACCTTCCCCAACCTCCAGCCGGAGGGGCGGCCTCCCTCCTCCCTACCGCCCCGCGCTCCCTGCCGCCCCGGGCCACGTCGCCAACTCTCCCGCGCGCCCCGCCCTCCCCGCGCCCACGCCCCACTCCCGCTCACCCCCGCGCCTGCGAGATGGCCGGGATTCAAATTTGAATCCCGCCTCTCTCTCTCTCTCCTCCTCCACCTCCTCCACTACTCCGGCGAAATTGCGTCGTTCCCGGCCACGACTCGCCGCCCCCCCTCCTATTTAAGCACGCCCGCACCTTCCTCTCTCTTTTTCCTTTCTCGGCCGAGCCCTCCCGAGCTCTCCATCGCTCCCGCGCCTCTCATCCCGCCATCCGCCGCTCGCCGCCAAGCTCCGGCCGCACTCCGCCACCGCTAGAGCCGTCGCCGCACCGCACCGTCGACGCCGCCGGGTTCGCAAGCTTGTGCGCCACCCCGTCCGCCGTTTCCCCGGTCAATCCCGCCGCCGGAGCTTGCTTCTCCTCGCGCGCCGGTGAGTACCCCCATGGCCGCCGCCTTCGACCGGCGAATCCGCTCGCCGTTAACCACCCCTCTCCCTCTAATCCCTCCCATCTTGTTCCCTAGGAGGTCTCGGAGCTCGTCCGCCTATTGTCGCCGTTCCCCGGTCGCTCGCCGTCGCCGTTCGCCGTCGTCTTCCCCCCCCCCCCGCCGGCCAACTCGCGGTGAGGCGCCCCTCCCCCTCTTTTCCCCTTCCTCTCCCTCCTAGCGCCGTGCCGGGCCGAGCCGCCGCTTCAGCTGTGTGCCGCCGCCTTTGCGCCGCCGTCATCCGCCGCCGCTTCCCGCGCCTCCGGTTGCCGTCGCCGGCGACCGTGCATGCGCGCCACCGCCCTCACCATAACCGGTCGGCCGGTTTGAGGCCGAGCCGAGCCGACCGGACGTCTCCTCCTCCCCATGAGCCGCCGCTCGGTGGGGCCCGCTTGCCAGCCGCCCCTCTCTCTCCTTGAGTCACTGACCCGCGGGTCCCGCGTGTCGGCGCCACCCCTCCTTGTGCTGACGTCAGCCCTGGGATGAATTATTGCGCAATAAATTGATTAAGGCTTTTTCTTTATTAGTAAAAACACAGATAATCTTCTAAAAATCATAACTAATTCATCCGAGCTCCAATTAAGTCCATTCAAGTCTCAGTAAATCAAGAAAAATGTATAGAATCCATTAAAAATGGTTTTGTTTCCTGTTTTAGTAGTCTTATAGCATGTTTTGCTTGTGTGCTTTGTTTGTAGCGTAGATTTCGCCCGTTTCGTCGATTCGTGGTTTCTCGAAGACGTTGCTGTGGTTCCATCAGTGCGAGAGCAAGGCAAGTCATACATTGCAATTGATCATATTGTACCCAATTTACAAATGTCCCGCATTTCTATTAAATATTGCACTGTTTTACAATATCATGTGGGATGGGTCCTATTACTCAGCTATATGTTGTTTCCCTTACGCCATTGATAGCTTGGGTATTAAAATGACTAGAT